ACCATTCTATGATTCTATGAGTAAGTAAATGGTAAGTAAAAAATGGGAGAAAGAATCAACATGCAAACACCCTCGCCTTTTCACCCCTAATGACTTATCTGCCCTAAATATTTTAAGAAAAGATTTTTTTAAGGACAGTACTTTCCAATCGACTTGCAACAATTCATGTTATGAGACGTCTTCTTTGCCAATAATCTCAAAGCAGCAATTCCAAACTGGTTATTCAGTTATGTACTGCATTTTTGTTTATGCCAGGCCAGCGTGTAAGAAACGTGCAGATTTCATACTTTTCATTTGATGTGTTTCTAGAATACAGTATTTAAGAGGGAACGTTGCCACGGTGCACTCGATAGCAAACACTGATAAACCAACTCACAGGCTGAACATTTAACCTTCAGCCCATATTACTAATCTTTTACAGCAGATTCTATTCAAAACAGCACTTCACCAAGTTTCACACTTGTTTTCCTCACTGAGTCTTTATCAAATCCGTGCAGTCTACAAGTATAAAGATCCCACACTGTCAACACTTCTTCGGTGGCAGTCACAAGGCAGTTTGAGAGCACAGACACGTGATGCTGGTGGACGTCTGTATGGGACCCTTTCCCTAACCCTCTCTTCTGTGCGACATCGCTGCCTCGCCAGCAGTGTTCGCAGAACATCTCTCCGTGCAGCACTGCCATGACCAGTTCCGTTCCTTAACTGGGAATTACAAATGAAGCCAGTTTCACGCCATGCTGCTGTTCTGTGAAGACTTAGAAGCCTGGGCTTATATCACCGTGTGCCTACTCCTAGGGAAACCTCCAGCAAAGAGATGGTAAGAAGAGAGTTGTGAAAACTCTAAAATGCTGTGGCTGTTTGCTCAGCAAACTTCAAATTTCAAAGACAAATGCAGCCTGGGTAATTTCACTGTTGTCAAGTTACACTCTGTGAAAAACCATACAGATCAGCTTCTTGTCAGAAAAAACTGGATCCAGTCTGTAGATACCACGGTGATAGCGGTAATCACCATCCAGAAAAGAATTCAGTTCACTCTTCCAAACCTGTGATGGCTAAGAATGGCAAAAAAATTTACACAGATAAACACACAAACTTTTTGTCATTAAAATAAGGAGACATGACTCTAAATACACACCAGGAAGAGCAGGGATGGTGAGTAAGATGTTGTATTTTAAAGTCACTTATCAGAGTAGCACCACACTTTGGGATTTTGTGTCTATGGAGGAACTCCTGGTTAGGCAGCCTCGGAGCCCTGCGACCACTACTGGGTAAATACACCAGGAAGAGCAGGGATGGTAAGATGTTGTATTTTAAAGTCACTTATCAGAGTAGCACCACACTTCGGGATTTTGTGTCTATGGAGGAACTCCTGGTTAGGCAGCCTCGGAGCCCTGCGACCACTACTGGGGAATTACAGCATCACAGGCACATTGAGTTACAAAGTGTATACCTTTAACTGCTTGTCTGGTCTGGTATCTTGTCCCTTGAGAGGACTGAGGCTGCTGAGACTGAGACTGCTGGCTCTGCTGCTGTTGCTGCTGTCTCTGCACCTTCTGCATGTGCCATTTCTGAGAAGACGTCTGAAATTTGTTTGAAGAGTTCCACACCACACGCTGCACGGCAGGGGCGGTTTCCTTCGGCAGCAGAGGCCTCTGCTTCTTCACAGGGCTTCCAGTGGCTGCAGATGGAGCACTGACAGTCGAAGAAGCACTAGTAGTTGCTGTCACACCAGCTGGAGGAGTCTGGGAAGCAGAGCGGGTAAGTACCGGAGTTTCTGGTAGAGGCTGGGCGCTTGCACTGGAGGAAGGTGGAGTTTTACCTACAACTAAACAAACATGACATGTAATGCCGGTTTCTCACCAGCACATCCGATTCATCATTTTCCATCTAATTTTTGGAAGAGCCATATGCACCTTACTTTGAATTCGTTTCCTCAGAAGGTAACTGACAGCCTACAAGTAAGCTCATTTAAGTCTAGTTGAAGCTGGGGCCAGTTCAGAAGCACAAGCCATTAGGCAAAACAAAACAGCACAAAACCCAGGCAACCAGCCCGACCGCCTTCGGAGGGTATGAGAGAAGTTAGCATCTGTTCGGATGTTTCTGGGTTACCACTTAATTTGCACACCTCTCATCCCAGTTTCTTTCAGGAGAAAAACACCATCAAAGGGGCCAATGACTGAACAATAACTGAAGGATCAGCATACTACAGATTTTCTGAACCCAGGTGAACTGGCACTGACGTCCCAATACAGTGTATTTAAGGCATCTACATTTCCTAAAAAAATCTTCCCGAGCTTATAGTTGACTGTTCCACATATCAGGCTAATTTATTGGATGATTATTTCAAAGCTGTAGCCAGGAAAAACATATCTGAAACGGGAAGCTGCTGGATTGACAGGTTTCTGGAAGGGGCAAAGACCTGCAGATTTGCATGCATCAGGTCTCTCTTCTCGACCAAGGCACTGAGCACAAGTAAAGACAAGGGCCTTGGAATCATGGACAGGACACAAATTATAAGAAGAATATATTCATATAGGTATATATATAAAAATCGGTATATTTATATATGGTGTATATATGAAATATATATATTAAAAAT